ACATGAATAAGAAAAGGATATCAAGCTTCAAGCTTAATATCAGAAAAGCAAAGCAGACATCAATTAGTTTCTCAAGCTGAAAAGGCTGATCCTTTCTCCACAAGCTCTCACCTAGCCTCAGACTGTAACATGTCCTCAGTATGGCTGGAGAATGAATGCTCCTATGTTCATTGTGTCTGGAGAATGAATGCCTCCATCTGAATCCTTGCTCTAGTCTTTTATACCTATCTAGTGCTAGGATTAATGCTATGAGCTATAATTCTCTTTTAGGCTGATTCTGTCTTACATAGATCTGGCTGGCCTTGTACACACAGAGATCAGTCTATCTCTTACTCCTGAGTGCTAAATTTATAGGTGTGTACCATCACCTCTTAACTTCTGGCAGCTGAGATTAAAGGTGTGTTTCACCACTGCCTGAACTCTGTACTTTGAGGTTTACTTTCCTTTTCTGAATCTTCAGTCAAGCTTTAATGATTCATAAATAATATATCAATACAATCAATCTAATTTATCAAATTTTTGTCTATTCAAAAATGTCACTATACTTTATGCTAAAGCTTTATTCTTTTGTTTTTCAGTTTACACACTTTTTTCAAAACTTTCTTTTTAACTTTGTATGGAGCAGTCACAATTACTTTTTCACAATGACATATAATTGCCCAGACACAATTGTAAAAACAGGTGTGTTCTTATATACTGTAATCTTTCATTTTGTGCATGACTGTTCATTCTACTTATATTTTTTAAAATTTTATTCACTTGGTTATTAGTACTGTTGGAATGAATACATCTGCATATTTATTGATGAGGCAAGTTGTATGTATATGATATGAGAACACATTAAGTACATACTATTTGCAAACCAGAGTACAATCATATGTGTTGCTCCTCAATACACTAATTTTTTAGGTTTCACATGAGAGGGAATGGGAATGGCATTGCTTGAATATTAAATATCCTATGTAACCCATGTGTTTTACCCCTTAGTTCCCAGCTTTTAATGCTGTTTGGGAAGATTGTGGAACCTTATTAAGGGGAATTTAGTGCAGTGTATGGATCTCTACTTGTGGGCCTTGAAATATTTTTGATCAGAGTCACTTTCTTTTCATTCTGTTTTATGAGTGATATTAGATAATAAGTCATTATGCTTTCACACACACACACACACACACACACAGGTGATAATAAGAGACTAAGTATTCAGTCCTAAATAGGGCATAGTTATTAATCTTTCCCTATGCCATCAATTAGAATGTTTTCTGGAATAAAACACAGGCAGAATTTAAGAAAGGGAAGGAGTGTTGTGAAATGCTGTTTACTGGACATGGAATGGCTATTGGATGCATGAACCACTGAAGCTTTATGGTCTTCCTAAGGATCACACAAAATTCCATAATAAATAACAAATTAAAAAAAAAAGAAATCATAGATCACAATGATGAGGTTAAAGGAGGATGGGGCCCTACAATGACACTTCTACCAGGACTATAATCATAACACTTTAGCTGAAAAACACCAACCAAGATCTGCTTTGGGCTACAGACTGCTCAGGACAATCTTGAGCTGGCTAGCTGAGATGATCCAGCCTCACAGACTACTCTAGCCAGGACTTGAGATAAATCCTGTACTTTTCCATTATACAGACACTGGATAACAAATGAGACAGAAACCCAAAGTCATGTAAAGGAAGGTATATGAAACCTTTTTCTAGAATTAGTTATTATGCTATATGACCATTAATATCATGACAAAATATGTAAAATACACACACACATATGAATATATATATTAAACTTATAAATGTTTATATAATAAATATTAAGAAAAGCTTTGATGAGTCAAAATAAAACCAAAGGAGTATGAGATTAGTGGCAATAAAATGATACTTTAATTTTTGTTTTTCTTTTGTCCTGTATTAGGTGGCTCTTCTGACATGAGACAGAGATTTTTTTGATTTTACTTTAAAAAGCATGCTTGGGTTTAGAGACAGAGAGAGCCACAGTCCAATTCTAAAACCAGCTTTAACCTTTCATTGGACTAGGACTACAAAATGACCATTTGCATTATATGTCTCTAGAGAATATCAGAAACAAATATTTATGAAAGTTTATCCTGTCGTTAATGTGATAATAAAAGGACAATTTACTTTTTTTTGGGGGGGGGACTTTTTTTCTAGATGATTTGTTCTTTTTCTTCAGAGTTCTCATTCTTCAAATCCATTAGTTGGATGTCATTATTTTCCTGAAAGGGCAGAAAGAAAACCTTTCCTCAACACTAATTTTGTGAATTTTTTTTTTTTTTTTGTTAAATTGTATTTGAACAAATGAAAAGCATTTCTTAGTTTTAAAATTAGTTTAGACTGAATCGACATGCTATTTGATGAACTAGCACTGCTTCTAATAAAATGGTGTCTTTTGTCCCAATCTAATCTTTATCAATTTTGATGGTACCCATACTTTTTCTTCTACTGTGGGAACAAACACAAAATCCCTCCACAATGTAACACATTTCCTAGTTTCCATTCTGAGGTCAACTTATCTTTAAAATATACTGGCTGACTTAATTCTATAGTTTTTTCTTCTATTTTCCAATGTTTCTCCATAGTTGTTGTTCCTTTCTTATTAGCATTTAGAAATTCAAAGTTAATAAAGAATTATGCAATATATTTCTGAAGGACTTTATTATGTGTTTCTGTTTATTTAGCACATCCTTTTGAGTTCAATTTGATCTTTCTATAACTGCATGCCCTGTAAGATTGTGTGGAATACATAGAAAATACTTTATGTGATAATAAGAAAAAATATGTTTCATTTTCTTAAAGACACATGCTGGTGCGTTACTTGTCTTTATTTGTATAGCTATATCCATGATGGCCATAACTTCTGACAAAGGTGTGATTACCAAATTATCCTTTTTCTGAGCACAAAGCAGTTTTCCATTGAAAACCTGAATAGGATTCTGCTGGGACCACTGCTCCAGGTGAGCATTAGGCCACAGTGCAGGTCCAATAACCCCTCCACCTCCATGGAACTCCCTGGGTCTGCTCTGAGCACACAGGACCCGCCTATCCACTTGGGACCACCTTGAGCCATACTCACCTTATCTTTGGAATTTCTGGAGGCATCACCATCCCCAAGTTCAAGCTCTACTATAGAACTATAGACCTGAAAACAGGGTGGTATTGGCACGAAAATGGATAGGTAGATCAATGGAATCGAATTGAAAATCCTGATATGAACCCACACACTTACGAACGCCTGAGTTTGACAAAACAGCTAAAAGTATACAATGGGATGTGGAAAGCATCTTCAGCAAATGGTGCTAGCACAACTGGATGATAGTGTGTAGAGGACTGCAGATAGACCCATGTCTATCACCATGCACAAAACTCAAGTCCAAATGGATCATAGACCCCAACATAAATCCAGCCACACTGAACCTCTTAGAAGAGAAAGTGGGAGGTATCCTTGAAAAAACTGTTACAGGAGACCACTTCCTGAACATAACACCAGTAGCACAGACACTGAGATTGACAATTAATAAATGGGACCTCCTCAAACTAAGAAGCTTCAGTAAGGTAAGACAAAGTGAATAAGACCAAAGACAGCCCACAGACTGAGAAAAGATCTTCACCAGTCCTACATCTGAAAGAGGATTGATCTCCAAAATACACAAAGAACTCAAAAAACTAGTCAACGAAACACCAAATAAACTTATTTAAAAAAAACAAAATGGGGCACAGAACTGAAGAGAGAATTCTCAATAGGGAAAATCAAAAAGGCTGAACGACACTTAAGAAAGTGCTCAACATCCTTTGCTATCAGGGAAATGCAAATCAAAACAACTTTGAGATACCATCTTACTCCTGCTAGAATGGCTAAAATTAGAAACACCAATGACAACTTATGCTGGAAAGGATATGGAGAAAGGGGAACCCTCCTCCACTGCTGGTGGGAATGCAAACTTGTAGAGCCATTTTGGAGATCAGTATCGTGGTTCCTCAGGAAAATAGGAAATAGTTTACCACAGGACCTGACAATCCTACTCTTAGGTATATACCTAATGTTCCACATCTATGCAACAAAGATATCAGTTCAACTATGTTTGTAGCAGCAGTATTTGTAATGGCAAGAACCCGGAAGCAACCTGGATGTCCTCAATTGAAGAATGGATAAAGAAGACAATTCTAAAAATAAATAAGGTGGATACCAATATAATCAATGGAAACTGAGGCCCAGGGCATGAATAGAACTACAAATAGAACTACAAAAATGCTGTTTCACTTCTGCATTAATTTGAGATACTGATAGGCATGTTTGATTTCAGTATCATGATTGGTACTCTAGTCCCTTCAACTGTTGGAGATTTTGTGCTGCCGAGTGACAACTCAGTGTGTGTGTGTGTGTGTGTGTGTGTGTGTGTTAAATTGCATACTCTGTAGATTTCAGGAAGCAAAATAATTTATAATGTATCCCATATCATAAACATGCAGAGGTATAATGCATGTATGTATACTGTAAGCTCTGTCAAAAGGGGTTGTGTCTGGTAATTCCATATCAAACTTGGTTTGGAATATCTAATGTAATATACTTCAAGTATTTCACATGTTTATAAGAAAAGGGATTTTATAAATTAGTGGTGTTGAGTAGATATCTAAGGAGGAATCTAGCCTGGTTTTTCCCAGGCTAGAGATGACTTCATGTCCATTGATATTGATAAAATCACAAGAATATAGAAATTGTGTGATATTACTTAAAATTACTGAAATTTTCTTGCACCTGAACATAATAACTCAGATGTAGACCCTGAAGCATTAGAATGTTCAACAGCTCTCTAGAGAATAAACTCAGAAGAAATGTACTGGGAAACATAAATACACTTGTAAGTACTAGAGCAATAAAAGAGACACATATGTGTATATAGGCACATTTGAAATGTGTTGATTTGTGAAACTCTGCTTAGTGTACTTTTACCTTGGTTACCAACTTGGTTCCATTATGAAGATGTTCTACTTGACATTTTTCTTCTTGGTCCTGAGGCTTTCATTTTTATTTTGCAGTTTGATAGGCCCCCGGTGCTTTCTGAGACAAAGCGATCTAGATATATTGGGTCAAGATAAAGATACTGATTGTTTGTTTTCTATATATACAAAGCATGGTCACATTAAGAATGGTTATTTCACCAGGAATCCGGATAAGAAGTAAGTGCCCTTTATTTATTTGTTTTTGATTGATCATTAATGGAAATACATAGTGGCCCCATGTATAGGAAAATATTTTCTCTCTGTTGTGCCCTACCTTATTATCTAGAGCATAATCAAAAATTATTTTGTTTCAACATGATTATTTTATTTTTCAAGTGATTTAATGGTTATTTTGTTCATGTTTTTGAAGTCAGATTTTTCAAGCTGAAAGCTGAGGGATACAGCAGATCTATATTTCTTCTAAATAGATTTCCTTAATAGTAGCAATTCCCACTGCATGTTGCCAAGTGATGTTCATGAGAATTATAATCCCAAGCACTGATATGAGTCCAATATTTGAAGGCTGAGTAAATTATTCTATCATTGTTGTTCTAGTGTTTCATCTATCATGATGGAAACTTTGGTATTTCTTCCTTGCTTCATGGGTAACATCCTTAATAGAATATTGCATTTTTATTCAAGTGGTGGTCATATCATTCTTTCAGAACTGCTGTGTTGTATTAGTCTTACAGCTTTAATCAAATACCAAACATCAAGAAATTTCACTATGCTAATTTTATGTTTTTCATTTTATTTTTAGTTGAGCACATATAAAGCCATATTACTTTTTAATGGCAATGTCCATAACTTTTTTTTCTTTTTCAGGCTTTGTTATTCATGTATAACAATCATCCTTACAAGTTCAGGGAACAGTATGTGCACTAGATAAAGAGGTTATATTGTGAAGATGTGTCATGCATATTTAATAAAAATGCTGAAAGACCAATTGCTAGGCATGATTTTGGGAGCAGAGATGACACTGGGAAATTATCAGAGATGCCAGGTTTTGAAGAGCAAGCAGGATGGGCAGTAGAGAAATGTGGTAATAAAGCCACAAGGCGGCACTTAAATCAATAAAAATTGGTTAATTTCAGTTATGAGAGCTAATTAGAAAAAATCCCAAGCTAAGCCTGAACTTCCACAATTAACATATCCCCATGTTGTTTTTTTTTATGAGTTAACAGCCCAAGGAAGATCCCAACTACAGTATTTCACTGGAAATGTTGACTTTATATTTCCCTCATCAAATGCTATAATGAAAGTTGTTCACTGTAGCACATGCCACTATTTGAAAGATGCCTGTTAAAGTTACAGATATGGGCATGTTTCTTGTTATTGATTTGATACTTTCATGCCTTGATTCTCAGCTCCATAAATTTACTCTCTGGCAATTATAGTACATTTGTTCTTTTTTCCTTTTACCCAATATGAGGAGTGTGTTTATATATTGTAGAAATATGTATAATACAATGTAGATTTGAATATTTGACTATATTTTTACTTTAATAGTGTTGTGCACTAGATTTGAAATTTGGTTTGTATAATTGTAGCAGTGTCACCTGTAGCATGCAAAGCAAATTGTCACAAGTAACACTAAATATCTGTTAATGAACACTGTATAAGATGGGCATTGTAATCTCTGTGAGGAATACTTCAGTGATATTTGATCATTTGAAGCAAAAGTTGTAATAACATATGGATGACTAAAATTCATAGCAGATAAAGATGTTCAGGATCATGAAGTAGATGTAAAAAATAACCACAGGGATGAATTATCCACTAGGGGCCATTTACTTAAAAGAAAACTGAGTCTTCTTTTTCAAGAATTTATTAGTGGCCAATATTTATCCATACTTAGCCATTTTTCTGTGATGAATTAGATTTGTGTCTAGATTATTTATGTTATACATAGATAAAGTATTTACTTAGAGCAGCAAATTCGTGACTTTGAATAAAGCAAGAGAAACCCACAAAAACACAGAGCAATGGAACAATATAAGAAATGAGGGTTATCCCATTAGGGATAGCCAATAGAAATCCTGATATTAAACAAATTTTCCTTAAGTTGTAAACAACTCACAGCAACAAAATTTTCATCTTGAAAATGAACAGGACATTCATGTTTGACAGTTTTCAAAAAGACAAAGTGGTAAATTAAGGGGGAAATAATCTTCAACAAACTCTAGTTTGTTCAATATTAAAATGAAAATCTATCTTGATGAGTAATAGGTCATTGTTCTGATTAGGAAATGTTGAAATACTGATGATGTTACATGGAAAAGGAACTGTTAAAAAGTATGCAAATCACTAATTTGTCAAAAATTTTATATAGAAACATTAAATCCAAAATGAATGAATGACTGAAGTTCATGGAAATTGAAGACTTGAAGACACAAAAAGAACAATTATAAAATCTAAAACATTATGTGGAAAACAAGGACTTAGTAACTTTAGATATTAATGTCATAGAATAGTAACTTCATTGGTTAACTAGAGGATTTAAATGTAAAACTGGAAATAGCTTATATCAATAAAACCCATCACAATTGTAAGGGTACTAAAAAAGTAATGGAAGCTTGGTTATTTCTGAATCACACAGAAAGGTTTAAGAAATAAAACAATAATAAACCTAAGGTTAAAATTATTCAAGCAGCACAACCACAAATTATAGGGCAAATATACTGTTCACTCAATTGACCACTATTTGAGGAGCAACAAAATAGCATAGTGTATTCAGATGTGGAATACTGTCATAAAGCAATAAAAATACATATGTTAGGAAACAAAAGCAGAAAAACTCACGGGGAAAACAAATATTAAGAAAAATTATTAACAATTGTTTATATATGATTTTGAAAAAGAATAAGAAAAATGGGCTGAAGAGATAGCTCAGGCATTAAAGGCTAGGCTACAACCAAAAATATAAGAAACATATATCAGGATCTACAAGGAGATTAAAATTTAAAATTTTAGATGATCAGTACAAGAGTCTAGAAGCATAAAAAGCATAATCAGATGACTAAAAATGAAATGGGCTATAATCAACCTCATTGCCCATGTGAAGAAGGCTTATTCATGATAGTTTTATAATCAATGGCATATCACTGAAATTTATATGGCACTGAATGGAATGGAAAAGGATAATAGTGCAGAAAGTATAGAGAAAAGTAAAAATAATTATGCTATCTGCACTGCTTGTGAATATAAAGATTCTCAGAGATGGTGATACAGATGGTTATATTCATAACTAAGTCAGGGCTTTATCAAAGGCTGATTCTTTGTAAAAATGTACCACATCCTGAATAGAAGGTATGACCCACCTATATTCCATATATGTCATTCATTAGGTTCTAAAGTAAAGAAAGGAATTAGCAGATTCAATATCTTCTGGAAACATCACACCATGCTCACAGACATGAAACAAAATTGTATGAAAGTCCGAAATCAAAGCATCTCACATGAATGCAATCCAAGAAAAAAAGTAAACATTTTAAGAACTATTACTGAATTCTGGAGATCTCACATTCTCATACTTCACAGTAACAGGGCTTAGTTTTCCATTTCAATAGGAAATACAAGTATTAAATACATAATCACTATTAGTGTGGTTTAATATTATCATACTTGTAGCCAAATATGTAATGGTTTCTTTGCTTTCTTTTCAGGTTGACAACTAAGAATATTCACTTGATTTTGTCTCTTTATTTTGCTCTTGAAAATATCAACAAGGACCCTCATATTCTTTCTAACATTTCTCTGCTAGTTAAAGTTGAATGTAATGTACTAGATGATTGGAGAATGAATAGTTTATCCTCAAAAATAGGTGAATTTCTTCCTAACTACTACTGTAAAAATCAGAGGAGATACTTAATTGTACTTACAGGTCCAATATGGTTATCATCTGCTATGCTTGGACCACTCCTGTACATCACCAATAGACCAGAGGTAAGGATGGGTTAGTTAGTTTTAGTGAAACATTGGCTCCTTTAATTCTGATTTTCAGGTATCAAAAATGACTAATATATATATATTTAATTTCAATGCATATATGCTCAGAAATTATTGTGGCACATACCAGTATTTCAACATAAATAGATACAAATAAAATAAATTTAAAGTGTTTTAGTTGCAGACATAGTTCACTGTACTTTTAAAGGTATTCACAAGAAATTATCTATGATTTAATAAGATGTAAATCCACATTCCCTAACATTTCAGGATTTTAATGAGCACAGTTACTTTAAGACTGATCATTATGCATTCTGCCTTCTTCAAGTTATTATGTTCCATGACATTCAGATTTACTATGGGCCATATCATCCTCTCCTGAGCAGCCATGAACAGTTCCCACATCTCTATCAGATGGCTCCTAAGGACACCTCTCTTGCATTGGCCATGGTCAATTTGGTGGTACATTTCAGATGGAACTGGGTTGGTGCAATCATATCAGATGATGACCTGGGACTTCAATTTCTCTCAGAATTGAGAAAGGAGATGGAAAGAAATAGTGCCTGCTTGGCCTTTGTGCATATTATTGTGGAAAATAAAATATTATTCCAGAAAAATGTAAATAACTATTATAATGAGATTACAACATCATCAGCTAAAGTTGTTATAATTTATGGAGACAAAGACTCTCATCTGCAGCTCAACCTTAAACTCTACAGATTAGTAAATGTTCACAGGATCTGGGTCACTACCTCACAGTGGGACTTGATCACACATAAGAGTCGATTACTTCTTAATTCTTTCTATGGGACCTTTACTTTTTCATTTCACTTTTCTGAATTACCTGGCTTTACAACATTTATCCACAAAACAGATCCTTCCAAGTATAAAAGTAGAGTTTCACTTGCTAGCTTATGGTGGATTTATTTTAATTGTTCTCTGAATTCATTTAATTCTATGAATCTTAAGAATTGCTCAAGAGAAAAACGGTATAATTGGTTATTCAAGCACCATTTAGAAATGTCTGTGGGTGGTACAGGTTATGTCCTATACAATACTGTGCATGCTGTGGCCTATGCACTCCATGAGATGCTGCTACAAGAAGTAGATACATGGCCAAAGTGTTCTGGGGAAGGATTGGAATTTGACTCTTGGAAGGTAATATGTACTCCAATGAAGGTAATGTGGTATGATAAATATAAATTTTACAATGGGTAATATAGGTTCAACACAAGAATTCCAGGGTCCTTTCTATTATACACAGGAATTTATATACCCATTTACTGGATAGCAAGTGAATCTTACTGTGTATAGGCTCTACTCCAGCCAATACTGACACTCACACAGATTTTCATGACAATATAATTTCTCATACCATTTTCCACATATGCATGTTTATTATATTCAAAATAAAAATGTAGTTCTTTCTCATGAAAATTTGAAAGCTAAAACAAATGAAATGGTTTTTATGTCATCAAGGATTTGGTGAGCAATATTAAGTGAATAAATCATAAATAACAGCAAACAGTTTCCACATTTTTTAACATGCTGATGATCATAATACCTTATCTGATTATCAAGGAACACTTAGAGGAAATAATGTGGGTAGTATCTCTCTACTCTTAGAAATATCATTCAGGTGTGCAACTGTTAAGGAACCAAACTCAGTGAGTAGCAGTTATTTCTAAAATATAGTGTTATTGTTATCCCTTTGTGGATTTTTTCTATTTGGTATATGAATATTTTATATTAGATACCATTTCTAGACAGATTAATGAAAATTAGATGCAACCTGAACTCAAATTATTTGTTTTAATGTGTAGGCATACTTGACAATAAAATAATAAATATTTCAGATGGTTCACTACCTAAAGAACATACAATTTACAAATCCTGTTGGAGACCAAGTAAACATGAATCAGAAAGAAAATCAGGATATGAAATATGACATTTACTACAATATGGATTTTTTGCCAAGTCATGAACTTAAGGTGAAAATAGGAAAATTTACCAAACATTTGCTGCATGGTCAACAACTGTACGTGTCTAAAGAAATGATTAAATGGAACATAGACCTTAGCCAGGTTTGTTGGACTTACTTGTACAATTCTATATGTGACAGAAGTATCCAAAATGTCAAAATGTAATTCATTGTCCTCAGGAGATACAGTATTTTTAAATATTAACACTAAATTAATTCTCACAGCACTAGATTTTCTTTCAGGACATTTTTTATTTTAGTAGTATTAATATTTATACATTCTATATGGTCCTGTTATCCTCGTGACCTATTGGCCATAGGTTCAAGAGGTTAAAAGTCAGTAGTGGTGAAACAGAGCTTTGTACATGACCCATGAGCTCTAATGGTGACAGACTTTGTGTGACTCAGTTCAACTTCATTCCAGAGTATAAGGAATATATAAGACTGGAGAGCCTGGGGAAGTAGAACATTCCTATCACAAGAGTAAGTAAGTGGTAGTAGGGTCCAATAGCAGAATTTCTAGCACAAATTTTCTAGCAGAAATCTTGCCCTAATTGAAGCCAAAGATTAAATTAGACTTCTATTTTAGAGACAGGCATTTGGGTTAGAGACAGCTTTCAGATAAGGTCAGTTCTATGGGTCCAGGAACAGTCTACAGAAAAGGTCAGGTAGAGGTAGGAAGTAATGCTGGAGGAAGGAATCCCATTTTTGATGATCTATTGAGGAAAACTTCTAGGCAATGAGAAGGCTGTGATGTTTATCAGCAGCAATGTCCTTCAACATCATAATTACATATTTGTCTATGTTATGATAGATATATAAGTTTAGATTAAATATAAGCACACAATATACATATGTTTCTCAATGTATAAATCATAATACATCTACAATAGGTAACCACAATATAAAGTAAAAGTTTTTAATTTATTGCATATTGGTAAAAGGATGTTTATATATAATACCATGTTGTAAATGTATATTACTATTACTAAGTAGATAAGACTTTTTCTTTATATTGTATTTGTTATTTTCCTCAGATTCCACCCTCAATATGTAGCATGCCTTGCTGTCCAGGATTCAGAAAATCCCCTCAGCAGGGAAAGGCTGTCTGCTGTTTTGATTGTATACCTTGCCCAGAGAATGAAATTTCCAATATGACAGGTAAAAATATATAACATACCAAAAGATTCATTATATTAGCTAATTTCTGCCATTTTTAGATGATCCCCAATGATGTCTTCTGGGAATTGAAAAAATAAAGTTCATCATGAATCAAATGAACAGCAATGCAATTCTAAACCTTAAGCAAATCAACCTGTGTCCTGAATCACACATTTGAATCATTATTCTAGATACTATTTACATAATAATTTCTTTGAAACTTTTTCAGAGTACTAGATATCATTGTAGCATTTATGTTTTCCTGGAATCCATCCCTTTATAATATATCTACATTTTAATATTCCTTAAGACATGGGATCTACACATCCTTGTACCTAGCCCCTATCTGATTTATAATAACTTGTAGATGTTCATGGATAATGCATCCTGCTTAAGAGGCATGCATTTTCTCATGTGTCCTATGGTAGATCATGCTTTCACTAGGTTGATTGAATTTTTAATTGTATATTACTTCACAAGTGAGTTTGGAAGCTAGCACATAAAATTTCAAATTGAAACATTTATTATAATATTCAATACTGAAAACAAGTTTGCACATAAACTTTTTAGATTGATACACAAAGATATCTTCTTATTGATAATGGTACCATGGAACATTTGGTAGTGATGTTATAGATAGTATAACAGGTAACTGAAAGATGGAATTGCTTTGGCAGTGATGACATAAACCGAAAAACTTAAGGTAATCTTCAGTCCAGAATGTAAATTGTTCCAAATCATTTCAACATCATAATGTGGAATGCACATAAAGTTTACATCAAACAATTCATTGAAATATTAAACCTATTTTGTATGGGACCAAGTGAATAATGGGAAAGACAGTTTCATGAAATACTAAATAGAAAATAAATTTATGAAAATTCTGGTTTAAATATCTTAACCTTTTAGTATTTGAAAAGAAAAATTTACTCCAGTATTTTTCAAAACTTTGGTGCCTATTCTGTATGTTTTAAAATACTAAAAATAATGTATTTTATATAAGTCATTTTAAAATTGTTAGGAAAAAATATGAATGCCTTTGCTCAATAATTTTGATAATATCAAGTATTAAAATATGACATAACAAAAGTAATTGGTAAGGGATATCTAGTCATGAATGGAAAGAATCATTATTAGAATAATATAAATACAAAGTTTGCTTAGTTGATCTAATCAATTGAATGCACTTAAAAATATGGTGTTATAGATGGACAGTGGTTGTTCACAATTTTATTCTCAGCACTTGGGAGGCAGAGACAGGCAATCTCTTTGAGTTCAAGGCCAGCATGATATACAATGCTACACAGGAAAACATTGTCTTGAAAAAGTAAAAGAAAAAAAAAGAAAATGGGATGTCATAAATTATATGATATGTGTAAAAGGAATCCCTTCCCCACATCCTTTATTTTGTATCTTATCTATGTTCTTAGGGGAGAAACTTAGTGCAATCTCAACTTGATTTTCCATGTTTCCTGTTATCCATGGGAGACATGCCCCATTTTGAATAGAAGCAGAGGAAAGGTGGATTGTGGGAATAAAGGGGAGGTGAGTGGAGGAAATGGGGCGGTGGAGGAGGAAAGGGAAGGTGTGGTCTAGATATAAAATAAATGACTAAATATAATTAAGTTAAATGACGTAAAGAATCTCTTTCATGTTATTTTCTCACTAAATATTTTTCTATTGGCAATATTGATAGTTCAATCTTACAGAATTAGTAAACTGGTAATTTCTATTTCTTTCCATAATTTATAAGAAACCTAATAGTAAATGTGATACTTTAAACACATAGGGAAATTAGGTGGTAATTATGAAGAATAAATATTTGTTTCTATTTGGTCCTCACTAAGACATTTTATTGTGTAAACATAAATTCTTCAACCCATGTTAATTAATTCTGCAAGAGAATAAAAAGTTCTTGGCTATTAATGATAAAATCATTTTCAAAAATGTACAAAAGATAATAGATTTTTATATTAATACTTAAATGTAAAAAATTAATTTTCTATCTACCTCTAAAAATAAGTGTAATTTGACAGGAAATTTATATTGCATCAATATATTATGTCCTTAAAATGCCAAGATATATTATACCAAATGATTCATTTCTTCCATACCAGACATGGACCACTGTCTGAAGTGCCCTGATGATCAGTATGCAAATCCTGCAAGAAATCACTGTTTCAAAAAAGTTACAACATTCCTGGGTTATGAAGACCTCTTGGGAATGTCTCTAGCCTGCTTGGCTCTGTGCTTCTCTGTTCTCACAACTATAGTACTAGCTATCTTTTTAAAGCACAAGGATACTCCCACAGTCAAGGCCAATAACCGGGTTCTCAGTTATGTTCTACTTATTTCCCTCATCTTTTGCTTTCTCTGTTCCTTGCTCTTCATTGGCCAACCCAATATGACCACATGCCTCATGCAACAGACCATATTTGCAGTAGTGTTCACTGTGGCTGCTTCTACTGTCTTGGCCAAGACAATTATAGTAGTACTGGCCTTCAAGGTTACTACTCCAGATAGAAGGATGAGGAGGCTGCTGGTGTCAGGAGCACCTAACTTCATCATTCCAATTTGCACCATGATTCAACTGATACTATGTGGAATCTGGCTGGGAACTTCTCCTCCATTTGTTGATGTTGACATACATGTTGAAAAAAACCACATTTTGATTTTCTGTAACAAAGGTTCAATTATTGCCTTTTATTTTGTTCTGGGATACTTGGGGCTTATTGCCATGGGAAGTTTCACTGTGGCTTTCATGGCCAGGAATCTGCCTGACACATTTAATGAAGCCAAGTACCTGACATTCAGCATGTTGGTGTTCTGTTGTGTCTGGATTACCTTCCTCCCTGTCTATCATAGCACCAAGGGCAAAGCTATGGTGGCTGTGGAGGTATTCTGTATCTTAGCCTCCAGTGCAGGTCTGCTTCTTTGCATCTTTGTTCCAAAGTGTTTCATTATTTTGTTAAGACCTAAGAGAAATTATTTTCACAACTTCAGGAATATGCAGTTTAAAATGGAAAATGCTCATTAGATTTTTCTGTCATCTCTATTATAATATACTTCCCACCAAGACTACATTGACATGTTTATCCTAAAATTTTAAGTCAAATTTTGCATTTTTGTCTCATTAATAAATTTTGAAAATAAACTACATATTACAGTTTTAAAACTTGGCCAAGATCTCAATTTTTATCAACAAAGCATTTTGATCTGACCTTTCTATATCTATAATGCTGGTTTCCTTCTTTATAGCACTGTATGCAATTAAATTGAATTGAGTAATAGCTATGCATTAGTAGTAAGAGTTAACTTAATTTTTTCCAGTATAAATTATACATTAATATTGTGTTCCATACTAAATAATTACAGTGGGAGAATATATGGCCATTTATTTCAAGGAAGATTCCCTTTAATTTGATATGGGATAAAAAGAAATTTACATAAAATTAATTAATTCTTTTCATATTTTGTGTCCTAATATTTTGTATTTACATGACATATATGCATCCATATTTAACAAAATTAATAAAAAATGAATTGCTCTCAACTTGAAAATTCAGTCTTGAGAATAGTGACAGTGACTGGAGTCAGGAAAAGGAAAGGGACAATTATATATCACTGAAAATATAATTTTAAGAAAATGAAAAGATTCTCATTTTCTTTATTCCTGTATTATGATACCCTTGATATTCTAGGTGTACATATGCACATGAACACACATTTACATACAGAGACCAAACACAACCACATTGCTCTCTAACCTATAAATTCTCTTAGGTTTCAAAAATAACTCTCCTATAACAATATGAGAATTAAAGAAGAGTTAACTTATTCTACTATCCACAAGTAGAAATCAGATTCAGAAATTATGAGAGAACAGAGGCTGTATTCCTTAACTTGTTGTATTTTTTTTTTTTGTTATGATGTAGAGCCTTACATTAGTCTGTAAATTTTTAAATACCATTTCCTGGTTATTATTTCTATTTTATTAAATACAGATTCTCTTTTCTTGAATATATCCACTCTATTCTTCCTGGTTTCTCCCCATCTACCCTCACTTCCAGAACTACTTCTCTTCTATCTCTCATTAAAAAGGAACAAGCTTCCAAGAGATAACAACTAAATATGCAAAAATTCATTGTAAGGTGAAGAAAAATTATCACATTACAGTTGGACAATACAATCCAACATCAGGAAAAGAATCCTAAAAGCACACATAAGAGTGAAAGATCCATTTATTCCTACAAGATGTCCTGCCTGCAAAATGTGCTAGGGCAATTACAGTAGGGAAGTTGGGGAAATAGCAAAGCAATCATGTCTGATTTGAACAAGGCCCAGTCCAACAAAGTGTAACCTATACCCATCACTCAATAGATAACCAAGGACCTGAGGTTAGATAGCCAAGATACTAGGGGTAAAACTAAACACTATTAAGAAGATAAACCAATAAAATGAGTCCTACAGATAATCTGCTATCCTCAGAAATCAGTGTCTGATTCATTCATCACCAGAAAGGCTTCCTCCAGCAGCAAATGGGAAAATATGTAGGACCCTATAGATATTGCAAGGAGAAAAATTTAAGTTGTAGATCTAGATCAAGTCCTTACCCTCAGATCTCAAGTATTATTACCCCAGAGTAGGTAGAAAGATTCTAAGAGCCAAACAATTTGGAGGATATCAAGTGAAAAATTTCCTCATAATCAAATAAGCAAGATGCATGTGGGCTCAGACAGATTGAAGCAGCAACTATTGGGTCTACTTGCATGTGAACCATGTAATCTTTGTGTTAATTAAATATATTATATTAGGACTGTTAGTCAAATATTTATGTGAGAATAGATGTATGTTAAAACTTGATGTAGTACAAAGAATGCTATCATATTAATTTCTTTCAGACTTATTTTGAAAACTAGTAGCATTCCAATGTTCCACTGAGTGTTCTAAAACCAAGTAACATAATACCATCAATAAATGAAAATTGATGATTATCAAAAATAAAAGTAATCAACTTGAGATGAGGGTATGTAAAAAGTAATGGGAGATGAATGGCAAAATATATAGTATATTTAATTTAATTCTTGCCATTGTCTAAATGTCCTACCCAGGAAGATAATGGGTATGTTGGTAGAAACAAAAGAGAATGAGAAAAAGATAAGTATCAATCATGAGTTATAAGAGAGAAAAAGATATGAACTGTTTCAGGCACTTCTACAAAGTACACTTTGAATTGGATAAGAAAATTTGTATGGAAAAAATTTTCCTTTGGTGGGATCAAATGAAAATTTGATTCCTTTCTCATATATTATTACACAGTCTCAGGTAAAATCCTGTGGTATGTGGGAGTCTGGATTTCTTTCAACCATAAGAGCCTTCATAGGGAGAAGGCTTATTCTTTATTTGTCTTTTCATATTCTAAAAAGAGTCAGATATATTTGCATTTTTCAGGAATTAACTGAACATGACTTTTACATCAGTTTATACTTTACCTCCACTCCCAAATCGAAAAGGTTTTGCTTCCATTAGATGCTCACTTTGAAGTTTGGACTTGGATACAGAAGACACTATACAATTACTGGTATGTTTGGAGTAAAAAAAATTATCATAGGAAATCATCACTCATTTTGAGGAGGGATTGATATCCTTACACAGAACATGACACCTTCTTCATAGAGTTCTAGTGTTTCATGAAATGTGCAAGGAATTGACAATCACTAATTCCATGATGTGAGTTTGCTGTGTAGTTCTATTAGCTTTGACATTTTCTCTTGACTCTAATCTCAAGTTTATTTTAAATAAAATACTTTAACATTTTATCTAATAATGTGGTTAAAGGTGTGTGTCCCTAGCTTACTGTTTGAAATCCTAGTCTAATAACAGGAAAGGTGGTCCTATGAAATTGACAGAGAAAAATAACTAGACTAGGTCTTCCACAATATATGTATTCCCTAGTATATTTCTACATGCTTTTAGTTTGTTGAGACTAAAGGACAGTATAGTTCTGAAAGATTCTTCTATTTCCCATAATTTGTCTAGTCAATGTCTCTGATAACAATGTTACACTCTTCTAGTAGTACACTGTTCATATAATCCTAGCTCATTCTTCCTTCAACCTTTCCTTATCATGCCTGATACTACCAGCTACATTCTTTCTCAGAATCTACATTGGATCCTGACCTGGTTAAATGTGTAAACATTGAATGTGTGGTTTCACAGCCCAGATAGGTAATAGAAATTTTACAAGTGTGTACAACTTGTGTACACTATTGTATATTATCTGGCAAGGTAGATTGAAAAATCTTGTTTTGACACATAGATCTATGTTAGAAAGCCAAGATCATTATAGTAGTTAATGTTAATTATCAACTTGATATGTTCTAGCATAAATATAACAAAACTCAGAGAATACCTACCAGAGATTAAACTAGACTTTTTGAATTATGTTGGATTGAATGATGTAGTTGCAATCTTTCATTGACTGGGTTCCTGGACTGAATAAAAAAGGAAAACATAAAATAAACAACAGCATTCTTATTTATTGTTTTGTGCAGAAAACTGTTTGAATCAATTAACATAAGATCATGTCACATGACTTACCAACCAAGACAGACTTTACCTTCAAGTCAAGAAAAAAGTAATCACTTCTAATTTCATACAACAAGAATGAAATCTAATTCAGACATTATGGAGGATTTTTCTATGCAGTTGATATTCTTAATATTGCTTCTGTTACAACTGGGATACATTGGGCATATGTTGAGATCACTAAAAACTATTTGCATATAAATTAATTTAGAAAGAAATTGGTTAATTTTCTTATTAATTATTAAAATAGAACAATGTTTATTTCTGCCATTGTAAAAACTTTGTTCATGTGATGTGGACTTAAGCTGCTATGATTGGATTTCATTTTTCCAAAACTTTAAAGGTTTGGTCCTTACAGTAATCATGTAGACATACCCATAGCATAAAAAGATAAAGCCTAGTGAAATGGGATCACAGCACTCCTTGCTTACTCATGATTTGCTTCCCAATACTCTCTCTGCCTGTCTGTTATATTATTGTCATCTCAATGACTTTGTTGCTGAGGTTGTGTAACTGTGTCACATGACCTACACAAACATAAGATAACTGAAAGTTCATACTTGAAGGATTTAGCAATTTAAAACAATTTTCTTCATCTAGCCTATATTTGAAGGACATTTTGGTTGTTTCTAATTGTGACTATTATGAATACATCTGCTATTAACTTAGTTGAAAAAGTGTACTTGTGGTATAATTGACTTATTTGGTTATATGGATAAGAATGGTATAGCTGGGTCATGAGGTAGATCAATTCCCAATTTTCTAAGGAAAAAAAAAAAGCATGTTGATTTCCAAAGAGGCTGTAGTAGTTTACCCTCCCACCAACAATGGAGAAGTGTTCTTCTTGTTCTACATCCTCTCTAGCATGAGTTGTCATCAGTGTTTTTGCTCTTAGCCATTCTGAATGTTGTACAATGGATTCACAGTGTCATTTTAATATATATTGCTAAGGATGTTGAATATTTCTTTAAGGGTTTCTAGGCCATTTGACATTCTTCTTTTGACAATACTCTGGTTAGATCTGTACTCCATTTTTAATTGGATTATTTGGGAGTTTTTGATATCTAGTTTCTTTTTAATATCAGCCCTGTGTTGGATGTGAGGTGAATGAAGGTATTTCATCATTCTGTAAGCTGCTATTTTATGTTTTTAGCAGTGTCCTCTGTGTTACAGAAACTGTTCAGTTTCATGAGGTCTTATTTATTAATTATTGGTTTTAGTGTCTGTAACACTAATTTTATATTCAGTAAGTAAGCTGTTTCTTGTGCCAATGTATTCAACATTATTTATCACTTTCTCTCCTATCAGGTTTAGTTTAACTGGACTTATGTCTTTGATCCACTTGGAATTGAGTTTTGTGCAGAGTGAAAGCTATGGTTATATTTACTTTCTACTACATGCTGACATCAATTTATGCCACCATCAATTGCTGAAGATGACATTTTTCCA